TAGCACAGCTTTAAATTTTTTAAATAGATATAAATAAAACTGCAAAAATATTGTTCATTTGATTAAAATCTCAATGAATATGTTTGTGCTGTACATTGTACTTTGTTGAGAAATAAAAATGTGATACGCATGTTGAAAAATTTAGTGATCAAAACTATCTTTCTTTGGTGATCAAAAAGTACATTTACTGTATTTATTTCGTACTAACATCTGAATGCATTTATGGCAGATTCAACTCCAACTGTTTTAGATACGTCGCCGAATTTTTCTAGTAAGCAACGGTTTCAAATAGGTGAATCAGCCTGCTTTCAGACATTGATAGTCCAACTCAGACAAATTTAAAGTTAATTTAAAACGACACTTCAATGCCTGAGGTAAAAACAAAAGTAGTGCCGTCTTCCGCTTGCACTGTGATAGGTAAATAACGTTGAAAACGAAGCGACTTAAAAAATCTTTGCCACCATTTTGTAAAGCTCGATGTGTACTGACGTGAGATATAAACAGTCAGTTATTTTATTTAAAAAAGCATTACTTGTATAAAATCGTTCCTACTACTCTAGAGAAGAAAAATCAGAACAAAAGCAAAACGAATGACAATTTTATATAATCATCGGTTTAAGTTATTTTCAGGACTTTCGCGAAAACTTTCATTTTTGAATGGGGTAATTTTCCGTCAAAAAACTGAAAATCTTCTGGAATGTTTTGCTGCTACTTACTGCGAATGTCGATTGAGTAACTTACGTTGTGTCTATCGCACAGTGGCTTTCAAGTTGATCTGTTCAAAATCTTGGTAAAAATTAGTCAAAGTCTTCCTCATTTGTGAAAGGAAGTTCTTTTTTGGGCTAGTATCTGTTAAATGTGTTGTATCAGTTTGATAATATACTTTAATAATCATTGCGTTAATGTATGTTCGACACGTACAGTTATTTCAAACAATAAGCGCGTCATAAATTTACTAAAAACTTTCATTTTTTCGGACAGAGGAAATTAGCTTGAGATTGCGGAGTGCGAACCGGTTTTCAATTTCTTAGTTGCCAATATCATGCTTGTTTAAGACAAGGTTAATGTAAACTATATTAGCAAACTGAACGGAGCATCTTTCATTTCTTCGTTTTTCGTTTCTCTCCACGAATAGGCTTCCTACGGTACAAAAAAAAGAATGAAATGTCGATTTTCCTCGAAAAACTCTCTTCAGAAAAGAGTAAAAAAAATTGCAACTTTCCCATACATGAACTCTCTTTTCCTGAAGTACTATAATACTCGCTATATATATATATATGTAGTAGCTATATAGCAGCTATATATAGCGACTTGGATTTCACCTTATTTTCTTTCTTCATCTTTTATCGAATAAGGACACTAATCCGGTGACTGGATTTTATTTTTACAGCTCAACTTATCACAATTATCAAAGGAAATATACCAACCGCATTAAATAAATTCTTCTTTTCTATAAAACAAAAAGAGAGATGCTACTTATCTTTTGATCATAAATTAATTACCAACTATTTTTTTGATAAGTCAAAATTCAAAGAAATGTTGAATAGGATACCAGAGATAATCCAATTGTTTATCCATAGTTCATCAGAAGAAAAGACTGAATATGATATCATTCCTCAAATTTTTCGAATCTAAGAAAGATGTCAAGCTTTTCTTTGTCAACGTCCAAATTCTATCCTCGTTTTCAATATACTAAAGAGCAAAAAGATTTACTCAATGAAAGTTATCGTCTCCAATCTTATCCAAAATTAGAAGAAAAAGAACGTTTAGCTACATTATGTCAATGTACAGTATTGCAAATCGTCAAGTAAGTGATTTATTTATTATATTATCACGTTAATGAGTATAGTGTTGCTCTTCATTTTATAATCAACAATATTTTTTAACAAAAGATGTATCATCATACTCCTTATTAGAACGTAGACCTTTTGAATGTTTTAGTTGGTTTCAAAATCGTCGTCGTCGTGAGAAGAAGTCATTATTAACAAAAGAAAATTCAATGAAAAATGTTGGGTTTGTCCAGCTCTCAACAATACCATCGTCATCTACAGAAATTCCATCAACAGTAAGTATTATCTATATTAAAAAATTAGAGCATAAGACAGGTTCTCTATTTCTCGGAAGTTGAGCGCAGAAACTTCAGTAGAGCTCCCATTAATAATCAGATTAAATATTTTGAATGAAAAAACTCGTAATATCTTTACGAGAAAATGTATTTATCAACGCATAGAGTCCCTACGACGAAGTTTCAATCGCTGCAACGTTAATAGTAAGCGAGTAAGTTCGCGTGACAGTAGTTTAACCAGAAAGTCTTTTTGATCAATGAAAATGTCGAGGTCTTTGATAAAAATGCACATAAATAAATTTTTGAATTTCCAATGATTTATTCTTCTAGGCTAATTCATATGTTCCACAATTCTATACACCTAATCTGCATCCGTATTATTCATTTTCATATTCATCCAATATGGCACCAAACACTCATTTTTATCAAGATCACGATTATTATCACCATCAAGCGGTCACATCAACTCCATTATGTTCTGCTCCGACATCATCTCTCAATTGTTTCCCTGATCTAATGATGATGCAACATTCATATTCAAATCCTGTGGATCCAAATCTAACTCTTACCCGTCAACAGTATCCAACAAAATTTACTAATTATTTCACAGAACCCGATTTATTGTCACAAAATTTAATGTTGAATCACAATTTCAATTGTTTGTATGACCAACAATGTGAGATAGACAAAGAGATGCTTTTATATTCGTAGCATGTGTTTTTATTTTGTATATTAAATTTGGAAAAAAACTACTGATATATTTTAAGTTCACTATAATATAACTTGTAGTAAACTAAAGACATTGGACGGCAGACAATTCTTATCTTGAAGTCCTCAACAAAATACGTTCAAAAAGCACTTTTAATACACGAGCAATCATCCTCATGAGTTTTATCCTTGAATTCGATTGCAAAATTAAAAACAATCAAATAGATAATAATTTAACAGTAGCTTTTCAACCACTAGAAAAATTAGTTGAATAGATAAGAGTACATTTCGCTTAGTAGTGGAAGAGTTCATTAGAAATACATCAAGAAAACAAGAGCTAGATGCTGCCAGAAGATCACTTAAATATTCTGAATTAAATGTTTTGGAAGGCATTGTGCGAAAAGAGTAGGTAAAAATAAAAAAGGAATAGTCATCAGCGATATAGGCAAGGGGGAAAAAGCATACTTCTGTACTTCTCGGTACTTCTTGATACTTCTTCGTACTTTTTTGTACTTCTAAAGTACGAAGTACGAAATACGCTCTTCCCCTTTTCGTACTTCGTACTTCGGAAGTACGGAGAAGTACAAAAAAGTATGAAGAAGTACGAAGAAGTATCAAGAAGTACTGAGAAGTATAGAAGTATGCTTTTTCCCCTTTGGATATAGGACAACTTTAATAGACAGTCAATTGTCTCATCGTCAATAATAGACGGTACATCTGTTCCATTACGTTTTCACATTTTATTCTTAAAAATGGCAACGGAATTATAGAGAGTTCGAAGTTAAAATATTTTTTGGGTAAAATTTTAAAATAACAAGAATTATAGCTGATATTTAATCATTATTATTTATATTTAAACATTGGTCTATCAACACAAACAAGAAAATTGAGATATAAACGATTATAACTTTGAGAATGTCAAGAAATTGTAAATTCTAATATAAAAGAACATATCCATTATGATTGTATGAAAACTACAAATAACGGGTGGCGCATAAAGAATGAGTCTCTCAGTATTTTGTGAATATCTCTCTCAGTTTTCGATACTCTGATTTGATTTTTTCTTCAAAGATAGTCTGTGCAATTCTCTACAAAATCCAATGGAAAGAGCTCTTCAAAGGATGACTGGCAGACCATATCTGGTCAACAATGTTATACTATAAAAAGGCCCACTTTCAAAAGCACTTTTTTTTACAAAACTTATTTCTCTTTTTCTGACTAAACAGATTTCAGGCCATTCTACACCAAGTTTCCTATGTATTTAGGTGTACTCTTTCTAACAGAGCTCAAAAAAGATCTTCATTTAAGTTTGTGAGGTTGCAATGGCCAATGTGCTTGAAAAAACGAGTTGAAACCACTCCTTAGTCGCGCCAGTTATTACAGAAAAGAGCCTTTACAATAGTTCGCTCGAGTAGAAATGAAAAAAAATATACTTTCTTTCAATTTGGTAATAAGTCTGAATACGTATTAAATGTATATTTACTAAATCAAAATTTTGATGAACCTCAATGGAAGATCCTTAAAACGTGAATAAGGGAGCACAAACGAAATGTTTTGTTCGGATAGATTTACAGTATGCCAAAAAAGTATTCGGTCAACTGATAGAGCTTTTCATAGACTACAGAGTGACGTGTTCAGTTTTTTCTGTATGTGGTCAAAGAGCGACGCAAACTTACAAAAACCAGAAACAGTAGCTTGAAAATGGACCTTTTTGGAGTATAGCATTGCTGACCGGATATGATTTTCCAGTTATCCTTTTGAAGAGCTCTTTCCATTGAATTTGGTAGAGAATTCTACCGGCTATCTTTTGAAAAAAAAATCAAGTCAGAGTATCGAAAATTGACAGAGATATTCACAAAATACTGAGAGGCTCATTCTTTATGCGCATCCGTTATGTTACCCATTTAACACTTTTTTGGGTACGGGACCCGTATATATACGTTTTTAGCTTTTACACAGATTATAACTTGTACGATCTTCTATCTTTCCTGAACCATAAGAGTATTCTCACTTTCCCTTATATTGCTAGTATCACAGCATCATCGTGTGGCACCATTATGCATGCAGATTAAGGAAGAAACAAGGAACTTTGGATTTGGAAGTATATGAGAATATATGGAACCTCTAAATCCAAAGTCTTTTAGAGTCCCATGAAACCAAACAGAATTCCATAAAATCGCATAGAATCCCACAATCATTGCTACCTCATGGAGCTGCGGCTATCGTTAAAGCTCTAGTCTCACAGACGATCAGACGTTAGATTTGATTAGATCTATATTATGATATGGGATTCCAAGATTCTCCGTGGAACTACCCGCATGAGTCCATAAGATTCTGCGCCATTCTATTCGACTGTGCAATTCTAGAATCTTATGGAGTTCCATGAAACCTCATGTAATCCACTGTCTCCCCTTACCGTATACGTCCTGTTTCAGGCTTTTATGAAAAAACTTAAAATTTTTTGCATCTTTCCAAAAAAAAACCTACCCAAAGGGTTATTAAACCTTTCCTCAAACACAGTGTTTAACTTTGATTCAACAATCTGGTTAGATTTTTATACAATATAAATAGACACTACTTACTTTTCCAGAATTGATGAAACATCATATATATTTCGCTTTTTGTGATAATCTGATGAAGGTAGAAATGTTGATCATCATCTATTAAGTAATAATCTTATACTTTATCTGAATAGTTGCATGTTATACACAAATTTATTTATAATAAGAAAACAACCGACAAAAGATCTCTATAAATGTAACAAACAAATACGATCAAGACAAAAGTTTTGAATACAATGGATAAGATGTACATAGATTTTGTACTCTAATACACATAATAAGAAAAACTAGGAAAAATAGAAAACATGTACAACATGTATAGTATCTATAATATAAACTTGTTGCTCTTGACTAGCGAGCATTATATACAAAAAAAAAAGAAATAAAAATATAGAATAACTCGTTTAATTTAAGTTATATTATTGTTGGTTGTATCAACCGGTGTTGTTTGTAAATAAAAGTCTGGTATTAATCTTAGTCGTTCTAAAATTTGATCAATTATTGCTGGTAATAATGGTTCATTTGTAAACCATAACGAGTTCTCAGATAATTGTTGACCACTTATTGGACGAAGATAAAATAAATCAGCACTCTGTCGTACTGATTCCGGACTGAAAGAAAGAAATATGTTATACAGTTAAAAAAATAAAATAAATGAATAAAATATATCCTATATACTACATACCATTTTGATACATAATAATCATAACTTTTTATAGGACAACGTCCTGGATCATCTGCTAGTTCCGTTATTTCGTAAACAATCGGTGCATTAATTAATGCTTTCAGATCTACACAGAAAAAAACAAGATATGACCTAACGAGATATTAAAATCAAAATGATATTATTGCCATACTAAATGTCATTTTGACATTATAGCAAAGAAAAATATGTTATTTATAATTACCATCATTATTCGCATAAAATCTTAAATAATTCATATGTTGACTTTGGTTATTCGGTGTTCGAATCCATTGTGCATATTTTCCGAAATTGGCAAATGATATTGTAGTATGCGCGTCAACAGTTTTCAGATTGAAATATTTGCTATTTTGAAACAGCAATGTTGTCAATAAAGGCCATGGTTTTATTGTACCTAATTGTTGACAATCATATAGGATATCTTCATCAATTATTGATACTATTGTATTTGCTGATAACCAAGAAAACTGAAAACATTAGATGATGCCAAAAAGGAAAATAATCTTACGTACAATCTCTTTGTTTACGTGGTATATAATGTTGCAAAATTGCGTATAATGCCGAATTAAATTCACTATAGCGTGGATCAAAAATATCTGTTTGACGTCCATTTATATTCAGAAAAAACTGAATGCCTAAAAATATGTAAATAAACTTATTAAATAGGCATAAAACCACAAGCATGTTGAACAAGACCTTTCATCTTTATTCATAAGGCATCAGTAGTGTTTCTTACCTTATGCTTTATTTTATGAATATTCTCATCTTAAGTTGATACTAAACTTATAAAGCTCACGAACGAAATATTGTTAGAGAAAGTAGGGATCTCTATAACAATCAGAATGACTCGGGAAAATACTAATATTTTACTTTTGAGATCATTGCACAAAATTTCTTTAAAACTTAGTTAACAGTCAAATTCTCAGCTCGCATCAGCACACTCAATGCTGCTACTACGGTTTGATTACCCTCACTCTTCATTCTGTTCTATCTACACTATTTTTATTTGATACATACCTAGACAAAGATAGTAAATACTCTCAGGTAAGTATTGTTCACCATTTGGTCTTCGAACTTCTTGTACGAATAGTTCCAAAGCTCTATTGAGTTCATCGCCATGATAAGTGAGAATATCTTGTTTATAAAATTGATTATTTTTATCAGTTGCTGTTTCTAAAAACGAGAAGAAATAACTTTAGTCGTATATTTAGAAAATTCAAAGATACAAACCTTCTCCTGTACGATAAAGGATCGAATTGTTCTTTTGTGCACACCATTGTGAAAATGCTTCAATACCATATGTCCATTTTAGTCGATAACCGGCATCAGGTAACATACGAAGTAACTAATTAAATGAACATACAATAATCATGGTATAAGACCGTATCCCATTTTAGTCAATCGTATTCACTTATTTTCACAAAGAAAGTTTAAAACGCTTAAACTATTGAGCGTATTTTTTACAAAATAATTCTCTATCTCAGTTGTATTTTGTTTCACATCATAGCAACACTATGAGTTTTACTCCTTGCTTTTGCTCGTAACAAAAACAATCTTTGCCTTTCACGGATTTTTATTAGATCTATTACCACGATAGGTGAATAACACTTACTTTTTGTACTTCCGGATCAGATGAGGTCTGTGGATCTAGAATATAAAAATAGTAAGAAAAACGATATAAATTTAACAAGAGTTAGTTTATGTCTACCGATGTAATGGCCTTCTAGATCAAGTTCAGGTAATTTGTCCACCACTGGAATATTTGAACGTATATCACTCATAAACGAATCTGTAAAAATAATATATGATTGGTATTAATATGCCGCACTTATGTTGTATCTCTTACCAGTCCGATGATATTCATTGTTTATGTCCATCATATCGTCATCTGTTGTTGATGTGATATGGTGCCCGTTTTTTTCAGTTGTTGTTGTTGTGACTGTTTGATTTTCAGCACGAACTAAACTTTCAGCATGTAATATGAGAGCTGCTTCATATGGATCATCGGGCAACAAATCGCGTTGTGACTAAAACGGAATAAAATTCCGATGTAAAATAGCAGAGAGAAATGGTATCGCTAGAAAAGTTACTTGAACATAATCGCGAATATTTTTAAATGCTTTTCCCGTTATTGGTATTAGAATCGGCACAGGCACCGGAACAGGTATAGGAAGTGCTGTTGGTTTGAATAAACGATACGTGGGTACAGGTGATGGCATATAGATCGGAACAGGCAATGTCACCAATGGTACATCTCCAATCAAATATTGAGATTCTAAATAGAAAATAAACGTAGCCACAAGAACTAGAGTTTAATTCCCTTCTAACGATTTTTCCTTTACCGGTTTGTGTTGCCATTGAATTTTTTAGTGGTTTACATTCTATTTCTTTATCATTCACAATTGGTTTACACATAGTCGCTTTGTTTTTCATTGTTTGCGGTGATGTTATTTGTTGTGGCATTATGAGTGGCACGTACGATTTAATATGAAATAGTTCATCGTCAAGCCAACGTTGTTTATCAATAGAATCACGGGGTTTATTAGTTCCTGTTGTTGTACTACTACGCAATTCGGCCACCGTTCTTGGACGACGTGCGGTATTCGTTCGATTATTATTTTCATTGAGAGTTGTTGAAGCACGGTACGTAGCGTCGTCATCGTCGATAACATCGTTTTCACTGGCCGTCAGAGTTCCTCTCGTTTGTAAACTCATTGAATTTAAATTTTGTTCGCGTTCTTGTTCTTCACGATCAAGTAATGGAAATGTTACAAAATCAGCATCTTGTTTCGGCTTCGGAATGCGAGCAGAACGACGCGTAGGACCGTACGATTCATTTGGTGAATCTCCGTCGTTATCATCATCCGAATGACGACGAATACGAGAACTAAAGAAGAGAACAGTTATGCCCTTGTTTCAAATTATTTTGTCCGCATGATATTATAACCAGTCAATGACACAACCAACTAAACTTACGGAAACCATGATACTGGGCGTCGTTGTTCCGTAGCCATTGTCGATCGCCGAACAGGTGGTATCGATGATGCTTGTGGGATTAGACCTGTTCGATTTTGATATGACTGAGTTCCAATAGATGATGGATGACCACCGGCACGTCCAAAAAATAATCGTTCACCAGCACCACCAGTAGACGTTGTTTGTCGATTTTCATCTTGTTGTTGCTGTGGTTTTCGTATACTACCTCCAGTAATCGTTGATTTTAACGCTGTACCTGGTCGATTATTATTGACGACAGGTGTTCCGCCGTAAGTCGAAGCGACAACTGGCTGTCGCCCCGTTTGCGTAGTACCCGTACTTGTATTATAAAATGATGTTGTTGTATAGTGTCGTTGTTGTGGAATATAATTTGTTGATTGTGAACGAACATTGGCTAATTGAATACGTGGATTTGTTGAATTATTCGGATTTTGAATCGATGTTGCATTCGTTAATAATGATTCTAAATTTCCTGCGGGTGGTGATTGTATTAAGGATGTTAAATCATCGAGCAGAGATTCAGCTGATTGTTGTCCGACAGTTATCGATGAGTTTGTTACACCCGAAGGAATTACGTTTGGCTGGGTGGAAAGTGACGTTGCAGTTGTTGATACGATGTTGGTCGGAGTATCAACGGTTAATAATTCAATTGTTTGACCAAGATTTGGTAGATCTAAAGTCAAATATAAAAATATCATCAAAATCTGAGAGGAACACGATAACTATATATTTGTAATAATCTATAAACAGTTCTCTAGTTTGACACTCATATAACTAAATGTGTATGAACTTACATGCTTTTCCAGTTTTATTTAATTCTTCAATAAATCCAGCCATTTCTGATTCAGTTAACGACGCAACAACAGCTTGTAATGATGGATCAATATCTACAAGATTTGTTTGAATGCCACCACTTCCTTTCGATGTTACATCCATTTTTGAATCTTCAAAAAAACTACTTGTATCTCCAACTACATTTAAAACATTAGTACCAGTGTTATCAATAATCATTTCATTCGTAACATTAGCAATTGGATTCTGTTCATTATCACTCTCTTGAACAATTACAGAGGAAAACATATTTGGTTGTTGGGTATCACTGGTCATTGTATGATCAGACGCTTGTTCTAAATGGCAAAAAAAAATAGATACTTAATGAACAACAGTCTTAATATTTAGATTTATGAACAATGCAGATATTTTTTAGACGCTAACTTTCAGAGTTAATTTTTCATCATAATTTTTATTACGAACCTGTTTGATTAGTATTTGAAATAATTGGAGTATCTTCGTCCATCTGAAGTCGAGACAATAAAATACAGTGAATCTTCATTGATAAATAACAATACACTTTAACATTATAGAGAAAAAGGATTAAAACTTAAAATATCACAAAATTTATTATCTCATTTAATTAGAAAACTACAGTTAGAAAATGTATCAGAAATTCAAACAGGTTTTTTTTCATAAAATGTCGAACAACAAGAAAAATCAACGTCCGAAAAGAAAATGATAACAATATAAAGAGATAAAATAAAATTTTTTTGTTTAAACGTTCAACATAATAAATAAACAAATAGTAAGAACAAGAACAAAGGCAAGAAACGTCCATTTATTTTTTGTTTCAATAAAATGAAACAGCATGTAATATTGGCCTTTTTATTTTAGATTCATATTCAGTTAATATTTCATCAATTTCATTATCTAAATCATCGACAGCTTCCATCTGAAAATAATAATAAAAAAATGATAGAGAGAAAATCGGAGACAAATATCAAGAGAAGAATTTAATGTACGTACCTTCTGTCCCAAATCGCATAGCATAAATGCTCCTAATGTGGCATCTTCAGGATTATCTGCAACATCGATATTAATTATATGAACCAATTCATTTGTTTTTTTATCTCGATTATCCAAATCTAAATTAACAGAATGTCTAGTCTTAGAGATTCAATCTTATAAAAGATTCTTATTCTTTTATAAGAATCTTATAGAAATCTCACGAAAATTTTAATTTTCCAGTCGATAAAAATGCATACTGTGGTTATAAGATTCTTATGTAAGAAAATTATAAGATTTCTATAAAAATTTATACAATTACTACAGGCAAAAAAGAAACGAAAAAAGAAAATTTTTTTGTTTTGTTGTCTGGAGACTGACGATAAAATTTTGAACTTTGAAATTTTTGAACATTTTTCATAAGACACTACTATAGGATTATAAGAATCTTATAAACTAAAATTTTAACAAAACCTTATTCAATTCTTATAAGACTCTTATATTGCGAATTATAAGAATCTTATCACCACAGTATACATTCTATAAGATTTTCGTAAGTTTGGTCCATTAGGGAGTAAAGATGTCATAACTAACACAATAACACAACAAAAATAATATTATTATTCACCTTCAAGAACTTGATCAAATATTCTTTCTTCAACTGTAAACACAATATCGAATCGATCACGACAATCTTGAAAACGTTCGGGTTTTTCTTTAATTCGCCGATTTCGATCAAGCATATGTAATACACCATTTTGTGTATACAAATTTTGATCTCTTGCAATTAAATCTTTGTACATATATTCATAGGATGTATCAAATGTATAAATATTTGGTCTATCTAAAGATGGTCCCGGTAATTTTACTTGTGCACCAGATCCAAACGATTTGATGATTAAACCTCGTTTACTAGAATAAATTATTAAAATCATTTTCTTTGAATATTAATTAAAAGCGTATAGTCAAAAACAACTAACCTCATAAAATTATGTGCTTCCATACTACGATTTTGATTGGATGAACAAACAACAGCAAATTTAAGTGGCATTATTACTGTAATTTTCTAATAAACATAAAAATAGTTGACAATAGATACTGGTGCATTCTTGAACATAGCTATTAGTTGCAAAAAAATGATCTTAAATAAAAAGAACCTTGTAACTGAAAAATAAATTATTATGAAATTGAATATGATCAAAGCAAACAAAAATTTCACTAATATTATATTGACAGATACACTTAGAAATGTGCCATCTAGCATGAAGTATTTAACACTGTTAAAAACATTTTTTCATATAAAAATAGTATAAATCAAACAGCGTGAATGTCAGAAAGATGAAAGCGAATGAATCATCTCATATGAAAAAGAGAACACATTATTTTCGAGATCTAAAACGAAATGAAAGTTCATCTGTATAAAATACATAAGAAATTATCTACTGTACATTTTTTTGATCTTCAGTGTTTCCTATTCTCCAACTTTTACTGCCGCAACTCTTGCTAAGATACTTTTTTTTCCATATACGATAATTCATCTTACAATGATTGAATTTCGTTGGTTTAATTTAATCATGGGATCCTTAAAAGAAAATTTCGCCACCTTTCTATTACCATCTTTAATGTTGTTCAATACATTACGACGTCAGTTATCTCACATTTCAGCATATTCGTTTTATTTTTTCTGGTACACCTGCAACAGAAAAACTAAATATCTATGGAACACATGGTAATATCACAATACATATCTTTATTTTCACTACTCAGTGACAATAGGCATCAGAGCCTGATGATATTGTCGCGGAATATCATTTGATCGTGCGAATAACTTTTATTTTAACACTGTCTCCTGCTGCTATTCCAGCAACTTGTGTATGTTTTCATAATTAAAAGACAAAAACGGAAAGGCGAAATGACAGACGAAGTTAACGTCTGACTTGAAAAAATTAAACAAATTTTTTTATTGTGTTTGACTTTTATGAAAACCTACTTGCGTTCCTCTGCATTACTGATTGGCAAGTAAATGGAAGCAACACGTAATGTAAAGTGGACAGATAACATTTACTGATTCAAACGGTGATTATTGAAGCTTATAGTAGTGTAGAGAGTTCAAATACATCTGAGAACGTGTAATCTGTGTTTTCTTCCTGCTTCATTTATACTTTTTAATTTAATCTCGACTAACAGAAAAAAATCCCAATAATCAATTACACGCATACAAAAAATGTAATTTTACTAAAAACTAACAATCACAGAAATAATTTCCTAAAAATAAACAAGCACCGATCAGCGAAAACAAAACAAAAACTATACTGTACAAAATAGGAAAAAAATGAAAATTTATTCGATGTCCTAACTCAGTTTTTCATCACAAAATCTCAGAAAACAATAAGAGAGATGAATTGTTAAGTATTTTTCTGAACAAAACGCAGACACTATAATTTTCCATACTAAATGATCTCATGTTTTATTTACGCAAGATAACTAACATTGATAAGAGAATTTTTCTTGCTTCACTCTCTCAGAAAAATACGACGAACTTCTGGAGTATCTTCGTTTACTCTTTGTTTCGAAGGATCGAAAAATCATTGCGCAGACGGTTCTTGCTTAGATATGCTCATTTCAAGTGCCAGATTTTTTCGGTTTTACCCTATCAGTAAACATTTTTCAATCATTGCTGGAGTCGCTTCTACGATAAACAGTTATTTCAGCTCATCGTTTATTGAGCTTTCAATCATATTTATATTGAGAATATATTTAAATTGTTTACAGATATTTATCGAGTTCATTGATTGCTGTTTATTAAATATCTTCGTCTACAGTGATGGCATCTTTTTATATTTATCAAATATTGTTAAATAATTTTGATCAATAACGTATAATTTTTAGTCATCATCCAATTAAAATAAATTTGTTATAATTGCCACTGAACAGGTATTTTTGTCAAATATTTGTGTCCAATTTGTATTTTCAACATCTAAGAGTAAACACAGGAATTAATAAAGTACATCACATAATTTAACAAAACAAATTCATTTTTAGTTTTCTTACAAATAGTAGCTCATCTAAAAGTCTATCCAATTCCGTAGACAAGATAATTAATGTGTTATACTCTTCGTCTGTCTATTGCCTTTAATCAGTAATACTAACCACTTTTTATATTCGATATGTCAATTTGAATATGCATATATTAGACAGGGTTCTTTAGAATGAAATTTCATTGCTGTACATTCATTGAGTTTACAACATTTACTAGTTGAACGTGGCCATATACAGACGAAATCACGATTATCGTATGTTGAGATATATTCACATGTGAGAGATATTTCGAATTTTAATACACTCGATGTTTTTAACCATGTCCAAGAGAGAATTGTTCAAATGGTGAACTGCTTAAAATAAATAGATTCCATTTTGATCGGTTAATAAAAGCAAAAGTAAATTCTGCTGATCTTGAGAAGAAAATTGGATCACTGAATTATGTTTTGAGTTGATGATAATAATTTAAAACCAGACAAATGCAAGGACCGTGAAGGAATTATATATGTTTTGATACTGAACAATTTCACAATTTGTAAAGCAGCATCAACACCTAAAAATAAAAATATCGATGAATTGATATAGATAGGTTTGACCATATCTGATTTACCTTCCACTAAATAGAAATGTAAACTGAACGTATCAGCGAGAGCCACAATCACTTGATATTCAATTTGCTTAACATTTGAAAAGTATATTTTAGCTGAATGTTTTATTTTTATTTGTACCAGATATTGTGTTAAATGTGTCAATGGTAAACAATCATTACTCTTGTATTGTTGAGATTGTATGTTTTCTACTTTTAATGGGTTTTATCCATTGCCCACTGTTCAACATAATCTAAATATTGAAATAAAAATAAATTTTCTCCACGACAAATCAACTGTTGTTACAAAAAAACGATAACATTTTTGACTAACGATGGAGATTTGGAATTATCTTGTTTTCTTTTATGAACTAATAAACGGAATACAGTGCTTGAAATAAACTTTTAAAGTTCTAAACGTTGAAATATTTGGTTTTAATTTAATTATATGTATTTCAATAAAATGAAAATTACTACTGTTACTTTATTATATTTATTAAAATTTTTGCCTATTTGTAAAGATAATGTCTATCGAGAACGAAAGCACTTCTATTTTTCCTGGTGCTTTTGTTCTCTACTGTTTCAACTAGTATGAATAATCATCTCTCTTCTAAATTCGACAGTCATATTAGCCTGCTGATGATACTGTGAGGTATCGAAAGCTCGTTTTTTAAGTAAAATGAATTTACAAAAAGGTTTTTCAATTATATTAAACACACGTAGTTTTATAAAAAACGTAAAAAAGCAAAGAATGTCAATATAACTGTGATCAACAACGAGAAGTGTTTGGTGAGAAAATTACTTTTGAGTTGTTTTTAGACTGAAAATAGTGCGCCAATTAATCAAATAGTGTAACCAAGATTAGAGCTTTATAAAATCTCTTCATGCAAATTCTCTATTTGCAAAATTCAGAGCATCTGAAATGCAAAGTAGCGAGATATTGGATGTGAATCTATTGACTCTGTGGCGAAACGTCCATGGATTACCTTACTTGGTTCTTAAGACTTGCGTTTGCTGATTGGTTAGAATTGCTTTCTTGAAAAAACAATTATTTTCAAAAATTAATTAGATTTTCATGATCTAGTTCTTCAATACACATTAGTCTGAGCAAAAATGCTATTTGGACTGTGAAAAATCAAAAGATGTCGCAATGAATCACCAAGGTCACATATAGTATATGTGATCCTGGTGATTCATTGCGACAGGCTGTTGAAGAAAAACCGTACGCTAACCACTGAGACGAGTCAATCCATCCTAATATCATTGGAAGGTGGATGAGTTGCCTTGTCTTCGCAGGATCGACTCATTCTACTAGAAATTTTTACCCGATCATTATATTATATTGTCCGGAAAAAAGGGTTACAGGATGAATTGACACACGTCGAGGATGAATCAACTCGTCTTAAAGGAAAAATCTTTCGATGATTCTGATGCTTCACAGAAAAGTTTACAGGATGTGTCGACTCATCTTTCTGGCGAGTCCCCCTACAAAAATATAAAGACCACGGAAGAAAGACTGAATACGTTCTTAAAAAAGGTGACGAACAGACAGTAAGCTCCTCGCTTCGAATTCTACTAAGATCAGATGTTCATACCGAGAACTAAAATCAGTTCTCAGCAATCAGGTCAGAGCAAATTCTTTTACCGGAAAGTCAAGTGTGTGAAGAAATTTTTTTATGAATAGGAAGTGATAGAAAAATGCATTAACATTTAGTACAATTTATTATGGCGCCCTTCTAGCCTAGTCGACTCTCCCCAAGAAAGTCTCCAGCGACTCCCCGGGGAGCCTTCCTAAAAATCCCTGAGGACTCGCTGGAGGTCCATTGGTCCATCTTTTTTAGTTTCATATAACTAATTAGTAATTAAGTACCAGGTGCCATTACTGATACCAGCGTAGCACATATCAACCAACAAAGGTTGACACATTAGTGATGACTTTAAGTCATCACTAATGTGGCGGTCACTATTCCTCTGTTCCGCTATTCCTCTGTTCCTCTATTCCTCTATTCCGCTATTCCTCTATTCCGCACACAACATTTCGTTTTATAATAACTTTTATATACATGTATATAGGAACTTCGTTTTCTTTTCTAATTTAATCTGATTAGATTAGTTT